TCCATTCGGAATGTGGTCGGGACAAATTCCCTCTGCTTTGACTACGCTCTACCCCTTGATCTCGAAATTTTCTCCTCTATCTTGTCCATAAAGAAGAATGCCTCTAGCGTTCTCCCCGAGCATAGGCGGGCCTACTACCTGTCCCCTCGCCCGGGCTATAAGTTGTTGCACAAGCTTCCTAGTAAAATCCCAGCCTGGAAACGGGATTATTTCGTAGTCCGCAATTCCGCGGGATGGCCCTTTCCTTCTCATTGGAGGGCGGTTGTTCAGGACTTTGGTATTAGGCTGGACCTGAAAACAAGAGAGATGCTCCAATCTTGGGCGGAGCTCGAGTTCGACTACAAGGACTATATCACCGAGGACAAGCTCATAGAAGTCGGCTTGAGCCCTGGTAGGTCGCTCTGGTCTAGAGTTAGTATCTTATCTTAATAGTTGCCATCTCTTTTTGATAGCGTCACTAACGTTGAGCTTTGTTGCAGGCTTCATGCATAATTGGAGCTTGTAAGATGCATTGCTCAACCGTAAATGTTCGGAGATGATGGATTGGAGCATAGGGTTCTCCATTGCATTTGACATTTGCTAAAGGACTTGAGTTCCTTCACACTATTTACGATCCCCATATAACTCACGACTATATCAAGCCTAGTAACATTCTCTTGGATTGCTATTATTTTTCTCTTGAAAGAGTAAATTTCAAGTGGGACCCACCTATAATTTCAAGTGAGAACCACCTATTAACTTCAAGTAGGATCCACCTATTATTTTTCTCTTAAATGAGGAAATTTTAAGTTGGATCCACCTATATATTAATTTCAACATCTATTAATTTATACATTAAATAGTTTTTATTTTATTCAGTGGGATCCCACTTGTAATATTTTCAGTTTTTTAAGTTAAACAGTGCCATGCCATCATTTCTTATTATTTTATTCATATTATGTAATGGATTTGTGAACAACGTCACTAACACCATGTATTTTTGGCTAATGTTGGACTTTTCAGCTTAGTTTGAGATCTAAAATGGCCCCTTAAATTCTTTAGGGTCGAAATTTTCATTTTCAAAAAGTTTAGGGGTTTGTTAGAGCCAAAAATATATCAACTCTAATTATTTTTTATTTAATTATTTTGACTAAAATATCCATATTTTTTAAAATTTTCCTCTATAATTGTAAGAGTATAAATGTAACTTAAACTCCTACATTATACCTTATTCAATTCTCTTTCATTAAGTCTAATATTTGGGATATTAACTCTTATGAATCATATATTTAAGTTATTTTTTTACAAATAAATTCTAGTAATAGATTTATATTCCAATACTTTTAATACTTTTAATAATTACTCTTAATAAAAATTTCTCTTATTTTCATTTAATATCTATTAATTTAGTATTAGTCAATATTAATTAATAGTAATTCAAATAAATTTAATTTACGATTAATTAAAACTTATGGAAAGGAAATGTCTATGATCTGTTGATCTTGTCCAAGAAATATGCCAATCAATCCATTTGCAAGTTGATAACATTGATATTATACAAATATGAAAATTTAAATCTAACTTTTGAGTCTGGAAGGTAGTACATCCACTGGTACAATGTGATCATAATACAAAACTTATTATCACCGTCATCATTTGAAATTGCCACATGCAATGCACTTGTACATTTACTACTTAAAAAACTGTGCAATAAATTATAATAAACATTTTCGTAAATAATTAAAATCCACCTATTATATGCACTTGCTATAAAAGGCCACATGAAATGTTCCATGCATGAAGTCCTATTTTGTGATTCTAATTGAACAAAACAATCCAATATGGCACGAGCTTTTAGAATCACCACTCTAATTTTGTGAAAATTCTCAATGTAGTCAAGTCTTGGAGTTGCACATGTCATAATAGCCTCTTCAAAGAATGGGGAGATTATTTAGGTGTCCGCTATTGGATACATATAAGTTTGACAATGTACCGGGCTAATTCTAGGGTAGGGGGTAAAGTTAGAAACGTAAAACAATCCAATTAGAAACCAAAACCAAAATAGAGTAAGACTTCATTTGGCATTCCTTATTTTAAGGACTTACCTCCTTTTTTATATTCAAAACTCAATGTTCATAGGGACATTTTAACTGCAAAAATGAGACCAAATCAGCCCCTCACAAGATTGCCCCCCACAACATCCCACTGCACATCCCCGCCGTGTATTGGGAACATCTCCCGATGATAATCTCAGAAATGATATGTCATCATTGGGAGATGCTCTCAATAGTCAAATACACGGCAGAGATGTGCTGTGGGACGTTGTGGGGGGCAATCTCATGGGGGGCTGATTTGAACTCTGCAAAAAGAAAATTAGTCCTTAAAATAAGGAATGCCAAATGCAGCTTCAGGCCAATTGTTAATTTTATCATTTGGGCGGATTTTCTCGAGTTAAAAGAGTAGTCTTTCTCTTGGCATTGGGATGCATGGATAGAGAAACACACACAAGGTTTGGAAAAGGAACAATGAAAAGCTTTTGCAATGTCTTAATGTGGGTGGGTTGAACATAACTTGCACTTGTAAAGAGTACTATATCTATTCCATGCTGCAATTATTAACACTTGTTAAGTGGCCATAGAAAATAAAATTTGACTTGACTGCATAACCTTTACAATTGCAAATACATTGTGACAACAACCAAGGGATAATACACAACTTAACTAAATGAAAAGATTAAGATGACAAGAACTTATCAACTTTGGCATTTGTTGCCCTTGATAGGAACTTCATGCAGATTGGTGGCTTCACCCCAGCCAAAGCAAGTATTGAACTAGGTAAGGTCCATATCCCATCTCCACAAATCAGCCCAGAAGCTACTGCAGGACCAAATGCATCTGCCTTGGCCTTGTTAGTCTTCTCCCATAGAAATAGTATCAAGCTCCCAACGCACATGTCAATGGCAAAGTAAGAGCCCAAATAAAATGGTATTGCCATTGCCATTGGGACCGGTATAAACTTTGACCACTTCTTCCCAACAACATCTCTAATCAGGTTAATGAGAATAGCCACAGCAAAGAATGCATAACAAAGAGTGAGGCAATGCTTTGGTAGAGCTGAGAACCCC